TATATACAGATCACCGACCTTTAGTCTGGCTTTTCAATGTTAAAGAGCCAGGTTCAAAACTTATTCGATGGAGATTAAAGCTTGAAGAATACGACTACACCATTATATATAAAAGCGGCAAACAAAATACAAACGCCGACACTCTTTCAAGAATTCCACTCAACGCTTTAGAAACAGAATCTCTCCTTAATAATCCAGGAGATATTACAACTGACATCGATAAATTTCTAAACGAAATCGATAAAAATCTTCTAGAAAAACATCACACTGACGAATATAACAAAATCATAAACGAACTTAATCGACCGGTTGAATTACCTCCAGTGCCTTCAACTTCTCAAGAGCCTTCAACCTCTCGAATAAAAATTCTTGAAGATATCCGAATTAAACCACCAATGGATAATACGTCCAGTACTGACACTGCTCATAGTACAAACGCAGACGAAACCCTAAACGAAATCCCAATATTAGACGAAATAATTAACAACAAAACGAATCAATTAATTGTGAAAAAATCACCATACGACGCCTACATAAAAAGAGAATTTGAAACCTTTGACGGTAATAGGATAATCCGAGCAACGATTCCCACGAAACAAGAAGCGATAGTAAATTTTCTGAAAGAAAACCTCACAGAGAAAACTACCTATGTGCACTTTTTATCAAAAGAATTACGTGTTTTATTTCAAGAAGCATTATCTAAACACTTTTGTAATTTCAAGCTTGTAGAATGCACAAAACTCATTAATAATGTTAAACCAGAGGAAAGAGAAATGATAATAAGATTTTCACACGAAGGCAAAACTAACCATCGAGGAATACAGGAAACCCTAAAACGCCTGAAAATTAATTATTATTGGAAACCCCTGAAATCTGACGTCACTAAATTTATTAATGGATGTGAAATATGTCAAAGAACTAAGTATAACAGGAATCCACCAGACCAACCTCTTGTATTGACAGAAACACCTTCGAAACCCTTCGAGATTATTCACCTCGATACACTCCTTGTAGATAAACAAAAATTCCTAGTAATTATAGACAAATTTTCCAAATATGGACAAGCCCTTCCTTGCGTTGGCACCGCCATATCAGTATCCCAAAATCTAATCCATTTCTTTTCAGTTTTCGGTATCCCTAAATTGATTGTATCCGATAATGGAACAGAATTCAAGAACGAAGTAGTTAAGGATTTATTGAAAACACATAATATTAAAATCCATTTTACTACTCCAAATCATCACGAGTCGAATTCGCCCGTTGAAAGGTTAAATTCAACCCTGATAGAACACATAAGAATACTACGAGAAAAAAATAAAAATACTGACGTATCAACCCTAATGTCCTATGCTGTAATTGCTTATAATAGCACAATCCATTCAAGCACAGGCTTTACTCCCTATACATTGATTTTAGGACACACTTCTTCTAGTGACCCTATGCAACTTATGCCCGCGCAAATATTCACCGAATATGTCCACAATCACAAAACTAACACGGAAGCTTTGTATAACAAAATACAACAAGACTCAATTAATTTAAAACAAAAACTTATTGACAAACATAATCAAAAGAAGACCCCTCAAAAACTAACCATAGGGTGTCAAATATATAAAAAACAAGACAAACGACGTGGTAAATTACACCACAGATTCACAGGTCCATTCATCTTAACAAAAATATTAGAAAACAACAAGATTGAAATTGAAAACCCCAAAACAAATCGAAAAGAGATTTTGCATATCAACGAAACCAAAATCAAATCTATTGTTACAGATGGATCCGAATCTTCAACATCGGAGCAGTAGGAATAAACTTCCATAACCTGAATAAATATCCCGGACTCCTACCTTATAAATTGGGAACTGCCAAAATAGTTTCCATTAATACAAATTCACGACCTAACACCCCTTGTTAACGAATTTTATTTGATCAAAGAAAACGCTAACTATTTAATTAAAAACATTACAAAAAATGTATCCTATGAACGAGAATATAAAAACACGTTGCTGCCTTTAATGGCATTAGAAAAACGCATAGAAAACAACATAAGGCAAATTGACCCAACGAGTAGTTACTCAAAAAGACAAAAACGTGGCATCTTGAATCCTTTAGGATCATTAATAAAATGCATTATTGGCAATCTTGATAAAGATGATGCAGATCTTTACGATAGGCAAATTAGACAATTACAAGAAAATCAAGATAAACTTAAAAAAATCATCTTTTAATCAAATTAATTTATCTCAAAACGTTATCTCTAATATATCTGCCAATCAAATAACGCTAAAATCGAGAATACTGCAAATTGAAAAGGTTGCTCTGTCTGCTATTGACAACCATCAATACTTCCAAACTCACATAATAATTAATCAGATATCAATGCTATATCAAACAATTTACGATATCTTAGAAAAAACGGAAGTAGCTATCTCATTTGCTAAAATCAATACGCTCCATAATTCAATAATCGATCCATTAGAGCTAATAAAAGAAATTTGTAGATTTAAAAAACAATTAGTGCATGACGTGTTACCATTAGAAGCCAATATTGATAACATATTGAACTACGAAAAAATAATCGAGATTAAAGGTTATTCAAAGGGCCTGATTATCACCTTCATCTTGGAAATACCATTGGTCGAATCGGATGTCTATCACTATTATCAATTATTTCCGATACCAATTCCAAGCGAACAAAATCCTGATTTCTTTATGAACTTTCCACACAAACCATACCTTGCACTTAGCAACAACAAGTACTCTTATATGGACCAAACCTGCAACCAATTGTTACCCAACGAGTACTTATGTAAAGAAGCCCATACTGCATACATTGATCATGAGCCTCCATGTGCAGTCCAATTGATTTTATACAAAGAAAATGCCACTACTTGCCACCCTTTCCGTATCAGACTACAAAATGTCCAAATCACTAAATTAACGGACGGAAAATGGATAATCACCACGCCCAAACAACTAATTGTCTCAGCATCTTGTCCAAACTCTAAGAACAACGTACCGCTTCATGGTTCCTACTTAGCCGAATCTACAAATGAATGCAGCTTACAAATAAAGTCAATTACTCTACGAACTTATAAGCCCAATCGTTTGACTTATGATGATGTATCCTTGCCTACACTGAATTTATCGACGAATTATTACCAAACAAAGGAGTTTGCTTTTAATCCACCTACACTTGACCTGAACTCCATCAACTTGAAAGAAACCACTGAAATTGCCACAACGCTTCAAGAACAGAAGAGACGACTACAAGAAATATCCAACCCAATGGAAATGCACCAAATAAATTTTTGGACAATTTTACTTTATTGTATTTTAGGAATACTATGCATTTTTACTGTCTATAAATTACTTTTGAAACATCGCCTTAAACGTGCCCAAAAAGCCTCGTTAGAAGACGATATTGTAATTTAACAATTTTACTTTTACTTATTTAGTTTAATCATATTTTTCTTTTAGCATTTTCTTTATTTTTTCCATTGTATAAAACCATACCTTTTTTGGTATGCTTTTAACTTAGGATGGAGGAGTTATATCCCGTGAGAACTCCAATTCAGCATTTATATTGTTCTATTCAGCTTATTTTTAATATTATAAAAGGGGTAATTTCTAGATTTAAGTCAGTTCTATTGTATTAGTCAAATAAAGTTTTTTAAAAACGCTCTCTCGTGTACACCCCTCGTAAGTAAGTTATCTTTTTTTTTTTCATAAGGAAATAAATGTAAAGCAAATCTACAACTCAAGGTGACAAAAATAACAGTGATATTTTATTTTTATACAAAATATCAGCTGTTTCAAATTAAAGAGATTTTTCTTTAGGAAATAGAAAATTTTAAATATTTGTTTCTCAAAAAAATATCCAAAAGAAATCAAATTATTTCAGCTTGTAAAGGAGAAATACATAATATATCAAATTTTTGCCTTAAAACATTTAAATTGAATCCCTATCTCGTAAGAGAGGAAATGGTAACGTAAATATTTATTATTTAAACTAACCGAGACTGAACTGCCTACATTAATAAAATTTGATATTTATTTAACATTTCGCTTACAACTGCAAAACGGAAGTTTTCTGCGTAGTTTTGTACATAAATTTTTGACCTTCCTTTGAAATGAAATTATTTTGCTTCTGGTAATAAATATTTTCAATTCAATTGTATGGTTTGTTTCAATATTTGAATGCGGATAATTAGTAATTTGTCAATATTTTTTGTTGTTTTGGCTTCCTAGTAAATGTTTTCCATGGAATTTATAATAAATCTGCAAAATACTCAAGACACTAATGTGGCATACCAATGACGTCACAAAATTTACTACACAACCTCTTTTAAACAACCTTGATTGATTATTGATACGAAAATTTAATGCCCCCGTTCATACCAATGAAGTCATAATAGTACATTAAAATACAAGTTTCATAAGACGTCATTTTATCGCACGAGCCCTATATTAGAAAACGAGCCGGAGGCGAGTTTTCTAAAGGGCGAGTGCGATAAAATGTCTTATGAAACGAATATTTTATACTATTTTTTCTATTTTGGTATTGTTTAATTAAGAAAAACAAATTTGTCTTGAACATTTTATTCTCATATTTCCTGATTTCATATGTTTAGATTGGTAACACTACTTGCCAAATATAGAAATCTTCTATTATAAAATCGCGAATGACAGTTCGATGGCCATCAGTCAGCCAGTGTTACCAACCTTCGATAAGTAAAAAAGGAGTGTCACAAAGAGCTTCTTTTCGAAACTACTTTTAGTGTCGAAAAGACTTCAATATGACACCAAAATAGAAAAAAATTACTAAACAACCTCCTTTTTCAAACAGCCTTGATCATTGACATGAAAATCTAGTGGGTTATTATAACGTCACATCCCCTTCCACATTTTTGTCTAAAAAATACTGTCATATAAATGGAACAAAAAACATTGTTGCCAAATCAATCAAATTAAAGGAAATTTTTCTCCTAAACCAGATCTACCGACAACACTGAATCATCGGCCACCAAAGCTCTGATGCACTCAACAAAAAAATTCCAAAAACGCCTAACCCATCACTCCTTGTTGACGGGCGGCGTTGACGGTAGCAGCTCAGAAAGCCTAGAACCGGCTGTCAAGTGGAGGGGCGGCAGCACTTCACCCGCCCATTTGACTCAACAGGAACCGCCCAAACGTAAAGTGCGCGTTCTGAAACCGACTCAGTACACGAAATTCGGCGACGAGCGAATCATGATGTGCACCGCCAAACATGTTCCTTTCATGGTTTGCTCTTTTATACCTTACAGGAAGTCCAGGTAAGAATCTTAATCTAGAGCACTTAACGCAAATATTTAAAAAATGGCAACATTGTAGATCAGAATTAAAACGAGAAGAAAAACGCAAACGTACAACTTCCTCGGGAACAAGGCCCTTATCTTCAATAGGTGATGCCCTTGATCCTTTTGATTCTTTAGGAATTGAGCGGGTTTTAGAAGGACAGGTAATTATTATCAATGTCAATGTTTATCCTTGTCTAACATCATAAAAAAAAACAAGAATGCTAAATAAAAAATGTAAAAATTTCAGGAAGTTTCTTACGGTTATTTGTTGACTCCGACCCAAAAAGAGGGCCAAAATAAACGAGACGATCCCAGTGATTCAACCAGGAAACCCAAACATGTAGTTGCAAGGTAAACATTTTTAATTTTTTAAAGATTTTTGCTTGAAAATGCGCCAAAAATTTTTCAATTTTGTTGCAATTTTTCCAGGACGAAAGTCATTACTTGGCAGCCAGAACATAAATGGTAAATAACGTGACATTTATTGGTTTGGTAGTAGCTTTTTTGATACGTAATTTTGCTAACCTCTGCTGCGCTTTACTACTTTTATTTTATTTAAGTTGGCAACTTGTTTTGTCAACAATAACAGGTAGACTGTAGAAGGTGATTTGAGTAGGATACTAACAACGTCAAAATTACAGTTTTCTTCTTATTTTGACACAAAATAAATCTGATTCTAGGTGTTTCTCGTACGATCCGAACGTAATTCAAAGAACAACTACCGTTTTGTCGCAATCGCCGCCCGATTTGGGGGAAGACGCACCCACTAACGTCATCGGCTACCACCCCCATCTGTTGGACGATCCAGAATTGATTGCTGGGAAACATCGCACCCTTTTGACGTTTGCCTCGTACATGACATCTGTCATTGATTATGTCAAACCGTCTGACTTGAAGAAGGAGATCAATGACAAGTTCAAGGCCAAGTTTCCGCAGGTGCAACTGACTTTGAGTAAACTGAGAAGGTAAGTTTTTGTCACATTCTAGTTGTCATTGTTTTCATTAGGTGTCATTGAGAAATTGATCAGATTGTAATTTGGATATTTATCTCTCAGACGATTATATTGCTATCCTTCTTTCTCTTGTTCTATAAGTGAAATAGATTTTTTTTTTTTTAATCAATATATTATTGTCACAATCTAAACATCCTTATCATGTAGTGTACCATTAATGCATTGTTTAGACTGTGATTTATTTTATTTTTTTCCCATTTTTATTTTTATTATTTTTCAATTTATTTTCCCTTTCCATTTTTTTCTTCTTAAAAAAATTATATGTATTGCTATTTGCTATCCTTTTTTCTCTTATTTCATAAATGATATGAAGTTATTTTTCTTGAAGTCGATAAATTTAATTATTATCACAATCTAAACATCTTCATCATGTAGTGTACCATTAATGCATCGTTTAGACTGTGATTTATTTTATTTTTTTCATTTTTATTTGTATTATTTTTCAATTTATTTTCACATTTCAATTTTTTTTTTTTTTCAGAAAATTATATCACTATTCTTCTTTCTCTTGTTCTATAAGTGGAATGAAGATATATATTTTTTGAAATCAATTAATAAAATTATTGTCACAATCTAAACATCCTCATCATGTAGTGTACCATTAATGCATCGTTTAGACTGTGATTTATTTTATTTTTTTCATTTTTATTTGTATTATTTTTCAATTTATTTTCACATTTCAATTTTTTTTTTTCAGAAAATTATATCACCATCCTTCTTTCTCTTGTTCTATAAGTGAAATGAAGATATATTTTTTTTGAAATCAATAAATAAAATTATTGTCACAATCTAAACATCCTCATCATGTAGTATACCATTAATGCATCGTTTAGACTGTGATTTATTTATTTTTTTTTCCATTTTTATTTCTATTATTTTTCAATTTATTTTCACATTTCAATTTTTTTTTTCTTAAAAAATTATACCACCATCCTTCTTTCTCTTGTAGTATAAGTGAAAAGAAGATATTTTTCTTGAAATTATAAATTATTATCCACAATCTAAACATCCTCATCATGTAGTGTATCATTAATTCATCGTTTAGACTGTAATTTATTTATTTATTTTTTTTTTCATTTTTATTTCTATTATTTTTCCATTTATTTTCACATTTTAATTTTTTTTTTCTTAGAAAATTATATTGCTATCCTTCTTTTACTCGTTTTATAAGTGAAATGAAGATATTAAAATTATTGTCACAATCTAAACATCCTCATCATGTAGTGTACCATTAATGCATCGTTTAGACTGTGATTTATTTTATTTTTTTCATTTTTATTTGTATTATTTTTCAATTTATTTTCACATTTCAATTTTTTTTTTTTCAGAAAATTATATCACCATCCTTCTTTCTCTTATTCTATAAGTGAAATGAAGATATTTTTCTTGAAATTATAAATTATTGTCCACAATCTAAACATCCTCATCATGTAGTGTATCATTAATTCATCGTTTAGACTGTAATTTATTTTTTTTTTTTTTTTTTCATTTTTATTTCTATTATTTTTCCATTTATTTTCACATTTTAATTTTTTTTTTTCTTAGAAAATTATATTGCTATCCTTCTTTTACTTGTTTTATAAGTGAAATGAAGATATTTTTCTTGAAATCGATAAATTAAATTATTGTCACAATCTAAACATCCTCATCATGTATTGTACCATTAATGCATCGTTTAGACTGTGAATTATTTTATTTTTTTCATTTTTATTTGTATTATGTTTCAATTTATTTTCACATTTCAATTTTTTTTTTTTTCAGAAAATTATATCACCATCCTTCTTTCTCTTGTTCTATAAGTGAACTGAAGATATATTTTTTTTGAAATCAATAAATAAAATTATTGTCACAATCTAAACATCCTCATCATGTAGTATACCATTAATGCATCGTTTAGACTGTGATTTATTTATGTTTTTTTCCATTTTTATTTCTATTATTTTTCAATTTATTTTCACATTTCAATTTTTTCTTTCTTAAAAAATTATACCACCATCCTTTTTTCTCTTGTTGTATAAGTGAAAAGAAGATATTTTTCTTGAAATTATAAATTATTATCCACAATCTAAACATCCTCATCATGTAGTGTATCATTAATTCATCGTTTAGACTGTAATTTATTTATTTATTTTTTTTTTTCATTTTTATTTCTATTATTTTTCCATTTATTTTCACATTTTAATTTTTTTTTTCTTAGAAAATTATATTGCTATCCTTCTTTTACTTGTTTTATAAGTGAAATGAAGATATTTTTCTTGAAATCGATAAATTAAATTATTGTCACAATCTAAACATCCTCATTATGTAGCGTACCATTAATGCATCGTTTAGACTGTGATTTATTTAATTTTTTCCCATTTTTATTTCTATTGTTTTTTAATTTATTTCCACAATTGAATTTTTTTTTCCTTAAAAAATTATTTTGCTCTCCTTCTTTTCCTTGTTCTGCAAGTGAAATGAATATATTTTTCTTGAAATTGATGAATTAAATTATTGTCACAGTCTAAACATCTTCATCATGTAGCGTACCATTAATGCATCATTTAGACTGTGATTTATTTTATTTTTTTAAATTTTTTCCCATTTTTATTTCTATTGTTTTTTAATTTATTTCCACATTTCAATTTTTTTTCCTTAAAAAATTATTTTGTTCTCCTTCTTTTCCTTGTTCTGCAAGTGAAATGAAGATATTTTTCTTGAAATTGATAAATCAAATTATTGTTACAGTCTAAACATCCTTATCATGTAGTGTACCATTAATGCATTATTTAGACTGTGATTTATTTAATTTTTTTCCATTTTTATTTCTTTTATTTTTTAATTTATTTTCACAATTTTTACTTTCTTAGAAAATTATATTGCTTTCCTTCTTTTTCTTGTTTTACAAGTGAAATGAAAATATTTTTCTTGAAATTGATAAATTAAGTTATTGTCACAATCTAAACATCCTCATCATGTAGTGTACCATTAATACATCGTTTAGACTGTGATTCATTTTATTTTTTTTCATTTTTTATTTCTATTATTTTTCAATTTATTTCCACATGTCAATTTTTTCTTTCTCAGATAAAATAATATTGGTTTGCTTCTTTTTCTTGTTCTACAAGTGAAATGAATTTTTTTTTAAAAGTTATTGTCACACTCTAAACATCCTCATCACGTAGTGTATCATTAATGCATCGTTTAGACTGTGATTTTTTTTTTTTTTTCATATTTATTTCTATTATTTTTCAATTCATTTCCACATTTCAATTTTTTCTTTCTCAGAAAATTATATTGCTTTCATTCTTTTTTTTTGTTCTACAAGTGAAATGAAGATATTTTTCTTGAAATTTATAAATTAAATTATTATCAGAATCTAAACATCCTCATCATGTATTGTACCATTAATGTATTGTTTAGATTGTTATTTATTTATTTTTTTTTTCACTTTTATTTTTATTATTTTTCAATTTATTTCTAAATTTCAATTTTTTCTTTCTTAGAAAATTATATTGGTTTCCTTTTTTTTCTTGTTCTACAAGTGAAATGAAGATATTTTCTTTAAAATTGATAAATTAAATTATTGTCACAGTCTAAATATCCTCATTATGTAGTGTACCACTAATGCATCATTTAGACTGTAATTTAATTTATTTTTTTCCATTTTTATTTTTCAATTTATTTCCATATTTCAATTTTTTCTTTTTTAGTAAATTATATTGCTTTCCTTCTTTTTCTTGTTCTACAAGTGAAATGAAGCTATTTTTGTTGAAATTGATAAATTAAATTTTTGTCACAGTCTAAACATCCTCCTCATGTAGTGTATCATTCATGCATCGTTTAGACTGTGATTTATTTTATTTTTTTCCACTTTTATTTCTATTATTTTTTAATTTATTTCCACATTTCAATTTTTTCTTTCTTGGAAAATTATATTGCTTTCCTTCTTTTTCTTGTTCTACAAGTGAAATGAAGATATTTTTCGTAAATTTGATAAATTATTGTCACAGTCTAAACATCCTCACCATGTAGTGTACTATTAATGCATCGTTTAGACTGTGATTTATTTTATTTTTTTCCACTTTTATTTCTATTATTTTTAAATTTATTTCCACATTTCAATTTTTTTTTCTTAGAAAATTATTTTGCTCTTCTTTTTTTTCTTGTTCTACAAGTGAAATGAAGATATTTTTCTTGAAATTGATAAATTAAATTATTGTCACAGTCTAAATATCCTCACCATGTAGTGTACCATTAATGCATTGTTTAGACTGTGATTTATTTTATTTTTCTCTACTCTAATATTTTTCAATTCATTTCCATCGATAAATTTAATTCTTGTCACAATCTAAACATCCTCATCACGTTGTGTATCATTAACGCATCGTTTAGACTGTAATGTCAAATTTAGTTCACTTCCCAAGATCAACTACTAATGCCGATTGCATGTTTATAATTAACAGCAGTGTGCACTTTTTTTGACAGTTGACAGATAAACAATGTCAACTGTCAAATGTCAAATTGTTCCAGCATCAAGCGCGAAATGAAAAAGATCGTCAAGCAAGAGTGCGCCATCGACCTTTTGACCGTTGCGCAGGCGTACGTCTACTTCGAAAAACTCATCCTACGGGGTCTGATCAACAAACAAAATCGCAAATTGTGCGCAGGCGCCAGCCTCATCCTGTCTGCTAAGCTGAATGACGTCAAAGGAGATCAACTGAAGTTGCTCATTGAAAAAACCGAAAACACTTTCCGTCTCAGTCGCAAAGAACTGATTGCTTTTGAAGTAGCTGTTTTAGTGGCACTTGAGTTTGGGTTGCACGTGCCTACTTGGCAGGTCAACCCGCACTATCAACGTTTGCTCTATGATTCTTGATCCGAGTGGAATCGCAAGGTTCAGTTTCAACGGTTGAAGTTGACTTTGCCTAATTTTATCGGTTGACAGCTGTTAATATCACCTCTGACAATATCATTTGTCAATGTTGATAATAAGCCATTTGTTAACTGAATGACGTTTTGTTCGGTTGACATAGAAATAACGCTTTTGACAGCAATATCAATTGTTAACTGTCAATAAGTTAAATGTGATTTGTCAGCTGAATGACGTTTTGTTTAGATGTCCAATAATGCTAAGATAATTACTACTTACTTAACTGACACATTGGGTACTTAAATGCCAATTTGATGTGATTTTTTTTTTATAGAATTAGGACTTGTTTTTTTTTTATCATTGATTATTTGGAAATTATTGATTTTTTTTAAAAATTTTTGGCTGTTTTTTTTGTTACTTATATTTTTAATTATTATTCGTTAAACTATTGTATAAATTAGTAGTAGTAGAAGTGTTTCTGTCTTTTTCTATAACGCTTTGCAAAACAAAGACGAAGATACAATTGGTTTGTTCCAAGGACAATGAAAAATCTTTTTCGCTCGAATTTTAATTTTAGACTGTAACTTGTAAATAGGGAACTACATTTTATATTCTAAGGGTTGGTTTATTCATTTTCTGATATGCAATTTGACAGATAAAAACGCAATCAGGGCTGGGACTGTGGAACAAATAGAGATAGTTATTGTTGTTTTCTCTCTTTTGAAAATCAATAGAGAGTTAGAGAGTCCTAGCCCTGTAATTTCATTGGTCGGTCTGTTATTTGTTGTCCAATAGAATTAAAAAACAGTAAATTTATCTTGCAGATAATTACCAGCGAGTTAAATAAACCGAGCCTAAATATTGTACAATTTATAGGAAGAGTCCTTTTTTTTTCCTACTTTACTAGTGCTAGTGTTATAAGGGAAAAAAATATATTATATACATACAGGGTGGTTCAATTTGGACACTTTTAATGGGAAACATTAATTTCTAAGTATTTTTAACTGTTTTGTCACTAGATGGCGTTTCAAATTGGATCACCCTGTACTATTTAGCTGGGTTAGGATTTTTATATACATACATATTGACAATGTGGTTTTTGTTGAAAAGAACCCATTTATTATTATTATTAGTTATAGCTCGTTTTTGAATTAATTTGTTGCTTACTTACTTATTTTTGAATAAACGGAATATTAATTTTTCTTTTAGAATATTGTTTTCTTCTCAAATTTCCGTCACGCTTAAATTGGTAACGTTCATTCGGTCGGATACAGTCGGTTCGAATTTTTTGGTATATTTTGAAAATTTGTAGAATTTTTAAAAAAAATTTGGCATTTATGTAGGTATGGAATCTTGCATACGGAACAGTTGAAATGTTTGAAACAGATACAGTGCTCATACACTAATTAAAAAAAAACTGGAAAATGAGAAAAAAGTTGATTTTTGGACTTTTTGGGATCTCCTCTACAAAATGGCTATCTTGAATTTTCTAAATTTTGACTTTGATTTTTGGACACAGGAAGGAAACTCTGAAAATGACGAAAATTGAAACTTCAACCGGCCATAACTACGTAACGGTAAGTCGTAGAGGAAAATTCTTCAGAGACAAATTATAAAGCTCGTCGAGATCTACAAAAAAGCTTTTAGAGTCTTACCTCTACGACTTACCATTTTCAAGATATTCCACTTGGAAGTTTTAAAATCATTGGGTGGGTTATGATTTTTTTCGGCCAAAAAATCAAAGTCCAGATTTCCCGAATTTTCTTTCAATATGTTGTAGAGGAGGTCAAGAAAAATATTGGAACATTGGAATCCACTTTTCCTCCTTTAATTTCTCGCTTTTCCAGAAGTTTCTGGTTCTTTTTTATACCCCAAAAAATGGAAAATCGAAATTTTCCGAATTTTGGAAAAACAAAAATTCTAGTGTATAAAAAAGGTCAAAACAAGCAGAAAAGCTATTTGACATTTTCCCTTAGGGCGCCTTCTATACCTGACAAAAAATAAAAAAGAAAATTCATAGAGAAACTAACTTTTCTAGGCTGATATGGTCTGATTAAATGGTTATAACTCTGGAACGTCTGAATCGATTTCAATGAATCATGTTTCATTCGATAGAATATTAAATTGCCTACAAAATGGCTCTATCCAGAATTTCCAGATAGATCCCGATTTCAAGTTATGAGCCTTCAAAGTTGAAATTTTCTCAATTTTTCAATTTAATGAAAAAAGTATATTTTTTAGAGAAAATTTTCTTAAAAAAATTGATTTATGGGATCGATAAGGCTCGTTCTATAACGTGATTGAAGAGAAATTTGCAAATTTTCATTTTGATTTTTTGAGAGAAATTTTTCATCAGTGGCGAGGGGGTGAGTCAATGTTTTCTCGAATTTTAATTATCAAACGGCCATAATTTGAAAACAGTAAGTCTGAGAGAAAATCTCTTCATATAAAAATTGTAGTTTTCAGTGAGTACTACAAAAAACTAATTTGAGTTTTTCCTTTACAACTTACGGTTTTTGAGTTTGAAACTTTTTTTAAAATTTTATTGTAAATTTCAACTTTGAAACTTTATAATTTTGGAACGGTAATAGTTATTGGTATTACAAATTAGGGTATTTTGTAGCCAATTTAATTATCTTTTGAATGAAACATGATTCATTGAAATTGGTCCAGACATTCCTAAGTTATGGCCCATTTAATGAGTTTATGTCAAGTTGGAAAATTGCAAATACACTTTTGGATTTTTCTTCTCGAATTTTTCCAGGGCTTAGGAGGCCTCAAACAAAAAAATGCCAAGAGATATTTTCTGTTTATTTCGACCTCCTCTACTCAAATTTCTTCGAAATTTCATGTTCTTTAATTTAGTTAATTTTCCAGACTTTTTTCTGGAGTGATTTTTTACTGGAAATTTTGAAATTTTTTTATGATGACTTCCTTACGTTCCTCTTTTTTCCTTTTTCAATTTTTTTGGGGTTTTTTGGTGTTTTTAACTTTTTTGGGTTTTCTTGACTGATTCACTTTTTGGGTTTTTTCGACTTTTTTTGGGTTTTTTTGGATTTTTTCCAAATTTTTGGGTTTGAATTTTGCCAACTTTTTTAGATTTACTCAACTTGTTTATATTTTTGTTTTTTTTTGAATTTTTCCGACTTTTTTGGAGTTTTTAATTTTTTTTTTTTTTGGGTTTTTTTGCATCTCTTTTGGGTTTGGTCAACTTTTTGGATTTCTTTATTTTTTCCTTTTTTGACTTTTTCCTATTTTTTTGAAATTCCTTGGTTTTTTTCAACTTTTTCGAGTTTAGTTAACCTTTTGAATATTATCAACAACCAAAAACTTGGTTTACTTTTTGGATTTTTTGACTTTTTTAAATTTTTTTTTGGTATCATCTACCTTTTTTTTTACTTTCTCTGATTTATTTTTATTTTTTTTTCGTTTTTCTAATTTTTATGGGTTTTGGGTATTTTTAACATTATTAGTTTTTTTATAATTTTTTTGACTTTTTCAACTTTTTTGAGTTTTTTCAATTAATTTGGGTTTGAATCAACTTTTTGGTTTTATTTAAATTTTCTGATTTTTTTCAGTTTTTTAATTTTTTTAAAAACTTTTTCAAGTTTTAACTTTTTGGATTTTTTGAATTTTTTCGTTTTGTTTCTACTTTTTACTCTTTTTTCCGGGTTTTTTCAACTTTTTTGAATTTTCTCCACATTTTGTTTTTTTTTTTACTTTTTAAAATTTTTTCAACTTTTTTTTTTGATGTTTTTTCAATTTTTTTTTAGATTTTTCGAGTTTTTTTTTACTTTTTCTACCTTAGAAAGTTCAAAAAAAATTCAAAGAATTTTTTTCAACATTTTGAAATACTCGTTGGAACATTATAAAAACTCGTGGAAACTTTTTAGAAACCCGTTGAAAAATGATAAAAATTCATTAGAAAGTTCAAAGTTTTTTTCAACATTTTAAAACACTAGAAACTCTTTGGAACATCATAAAAACTCGTTGAAACTTTTTAGAAACTCGATTGAAAATTATAAAACTTCATTAGAATATTTTTAAAAAAATTAGAAAAAATTTAATGGATTTTTTAAAACATTAGAAACTTGTTGAAAATTCCTAAACACTAGTTGAAAACATTGGAAACATTCAAAAAAGTTGGAACAATTCAAAAAAATAGTAAAAATTCAGAAAGTTGAAAAAACTTGAAAAAAAAATAGTATATTGCGTATTTAGGTGGAAATTTAGCTAAGTTTCCAAATTTTTTCCTGGAATGATTTTCCATTGGAAAATTTTGAATTTTTTTTATAATGATTTTCTCACTTTCTTTTTTCTCCAATTTTCCATTTGCCAGTTTTCCAGAAAAAAATTAAAATGCAAGAGAGTGATTTTTCCTAAATTTAGTTAATTTTCTAGATTTTTTCCTGGAATGATTTTCCATTGGAAAATTTTGAAATTTTCCTATGATGACCTTCTTACTTTCTTCTTTTTTCCTTTTTCAATTTTTTTAGGTTTTCTTGACTTTGGTTCACTTTTTGGGTTTTTTCGACTTTTTTTTTGAGTTTTTTTGGACTTTTTCCACATTTTTGGGTTTCTTGAATTTTGTCTACTCTTTTAGATTTACTCAACTTGTTTATATTTTTTTATTTTTATGAATTTTTCCGACTTTTTTGGAGTTTTTTTATTTTTTTTTCCTCTCTTCTGGGTTTGGTCAACTTTTTGGATTTCTTCATTTTTTCCTTTTTCGACTTTTTCCAACTTTTTTGAGATTCCTTTTTTGGATTTTTGGATTTTATCAACAATCAAGAACTTAGTTCACTTTTTGGATTTTTTGATTTTTTTTGAATTTTTTTGGGTATCATCTAAATTTTTTGTTTTTTTTGACTTTCTCAGATTTATTTTTTACTTTTTTTTCGTTTTTCTAACTTTTTTGAGTTTTGGCTATTTTTAACATTTTTAGTTTTTTTTTTGACTTTTTCACATTTTAAGGGTTTTTCAGTTTTTTTGAGTTTTTTCAACTTTTTTGAGTTTTTTTAACTAATTTGGGTTTAAATCAACTTTTTGGTTTTATTTAATTTTTCTGATTTTTTTCAGTTTTTTAGTTTTTTTCCAACTTTTTTCGAGTTTTAACTTTTTGGATTTTTTGAATTTTTCTGTTTTGTTTTTACTTTTCACTCTTTTTGGGTTGTTTCAACTTTTTTGAATTTTTTTAACTTTTTTTTTGGGGTTTTTTCAACATGTTGAAACATTAGAAACTCGTTGGAATATCATAAGAATTCGTTGAAATTTTTTAGAAACTCGTTAAAAATGATAACAATTCATAAGAATGTTCAAAAAAAAAAAAGGAAAAATTCAACGAGTTTTTTCAACATATTTAAACACTAGAAACTCGTTGGAACATCATAAAAACTCGTTAAAACTCTTTTTAGAAACTCGTTGAAAAATGATTGAAATTTATTAGAAAATTCAAAAAAAAAAAATTTAATAAATTCAACGAGTTTTTTTCAACATATAATAATAATAATAATAATAATAATAATTTTATTTAGCAAAGCAAAGAGTTACAAAATAATAATACACAAAATAATAATAAATAAATAAAAGTCTATAAAAAATTTTGCAAAAATGCCATCACAATGTATCCTGATTACTGCTAAATAATAGACAACGCACAATTGTATTTAAAATACTGTGTGTGCTCATACAAAACTCTATTTTCTAAATTTCTTTATGAATAAATATGGCTATATACCTACTAAATATGTTCGATATCACAGAAGAATATTCAAATAGAAAAGGAAAAATTACACATACACATGGTACCCAACATGAGTAAAACTATCATAACAATAAGCAAATACAAATATAATTTATAGGAATCTAGTACACATAATAAAATGAATTTACACTACATATTCTATTTTAAAGCCACTTTCCATAATCCACTTATTAAGATTTTTTTTAGTTAGTTTGTAAGGTTTGAATCTAATTTCCTGCGGGAGAGAATTGAATATCTTAGGTCCGATACAGTAAACATGCCTTTGGGTTACTGTGTGCCTGGGGTTTTGCATTATTATATCATTTTGTATTGCGGTTCTTGTAGTGTGACTATGTTTTATTTTTTCCTTATAGTATGTTGTTTTAATCATAAATCTAGCAATAGCCTTTATATATAATTGGTCTATTGTCATTGGGTTGCTTTCTTTATACACTAATTCAGAGGGAT